AACCGGCAGGCCGGACCCTGCGCCACATTACAAGCTGGGTTTGAGGGGGTTCTTGCTGAGGGCCGAGGAGTGACCAGCACGGCAGTAATTACAGAACATTGTCGGCTGATTAAGTGGGTCTTTATATTTGGACTCGTAATTCCTTGAAGCAGGCAGGAAGTTGTGTCCGGAGGGAAGCCCTCCTCCCAGATGATTTCATGTGAACGTAAGGGGAATGACAAGGAGTCCCTGTTTGGGCCTGTTCAATGGAAGCATTGAGAACATTCCAGTTGGGGATACAGAGTGGAGACACGTCAAAGGTCAGAAAATTACAGACAGAAAATCTGATTACTAGAAGGTTAAAAAAATTGAGGGGAAACTGATTTAAAACCAACAAAGTTTTTGTTCATTCTCTATTTTTTGACGCTCATTAATTAGACTTCAGCCTTTCTGGAATAATAAAGATTTCTTTATTTTGCTTCTTGGAATTTTTCCAGAAATTTCTTTTCACTGTAAGACGCCTTACAGCACTCACTGTGTGAGTGCTTTGTTGTTGAAGGTACTGTTTTGCATTAAAATTTGATTTGCGTGTTTTTTTGTATTTTTCCATTGATTTGTTTTTTACCTCAGTTCAGTCCAATTGCCTTTTGGGAAACCAACAACATAATCTGCAAATTCTACTTTTCTAAAGTTTATTATATACCTACTTCCAATAATGAAAGTTGAGCACTATTAACATTTTAGATCTAAGTGGATTTTGAGCAAGAGAAATAAACCAGACTGTTTTGGGTATTTTGGCGATTGTGAAAAAACAACATGATTATGCTGTATGATTTGCTGACTGTGAGTCATCATCCAAAACAGAATATAATGAAAAACAATTTTTTTTAAATTGGGTTCAGTAAGCTTGACCACTATCCAGAAGTTGGTAAGCAAAAACTATGAATATGGTGGACATACAAACCTTCACACAGAAAGACCATGGCTGAGAATTGAAACCAGGACAATTTATAAGTGATCCAAAAGTTCAATCTACTGCTCCACCTTATAGTCATTTATTCCAAGTTCAGAAGAAAATTATTGGAAAATTATAAAAAGGGAAGGACCATAGATTATGCCTTGAGGAACACCACAAGGAATGGTAACACTTTATTTTGTCAAACTTTGCTCCATGACATTGTTGAATGCTAATGAGTGTGAGGATGCATTCCCACCAGCCCCGTTTAGTCCGCTTTAGTCAAATTTCAGCTTGTCAGCCTCAAAACTCCGGTTCGTTTGGGAAGGTTTGAATGTGTAATCAAACTCTAATGTGGACCAAAAAATCTAACTTTGGTCCATCTACAAATCTCGGTCCGCGCTTGGTTTAAGAGAATTCAGTTACGGTTCGAATGCATATGTGAATGTCCAATGGACCGGAGACCGGTGCAAAGCAGGAAGCAGGGCATTCTGGGTAAATACAACCAAAACAAATGCACATGTTAGAGCAATGGCTAAGGCAAGGGGGGTAAACACGTTTGTCTTACAAATCAAGTGTAAACACAAAACGCACCAGTTGAAAATGGTTCAATTGGGGACTAAAATTGTAACATTTGCTACGAGTCTACTGGACTATCAAGTGTGAAAACTACCTGTTATAAGTCCCTCTGATGGGTAAATCCCAATTCCAGTCAAAGCTTACGTTTCTCTTCCTGTTTCTAGGTGTGTTTGCTCTGGACAACATCATGCAGAACTGGTTCACACTCTTCACACCGACGGAGGCAACCAGCGTGGTGGCCACCACCATCATGTCCAACAGCACCATCGTCCGCCTGCATCTGGACTGCAACCAGCAGGAAAAACTGTCCAACTCTGCTCGCACCCTGGCGCTACAGTGCGCCATGAAGGACCCCCAAAACTGTGCCCTGTCCGCCCTGACGCTCTGCGAGAAGGACCACATTGCCTTCGAGACAGCCTATCGGATTGTACTGGACGCAGCCGCCACAGGAATGAACTATACCCAGTTGTTTACAATAGCACGCTACATGGAGCATCGCGGCTATCCCATGAGGGCATACAAACTAGCAACGTTAGCCATGACACACCTTAACCTCAGTTACAACCAGGACACGCACCCGGCCATCAACGACGTGCTCTGGGCATGCGCCCTTAGTCACTCGCTGGGGAAGAACGAGCTGGCAGCCGTCATCCCCCTGGTGGTGAAGAGCGTGAAGTGCGCCACCGTGTTGTCGGACATCTTGAGGCGGTGCACGCTGACAACGCCGGGCATGGTGGCACTGCAAAGCCGCAGGAATTCTGGGAAGCTGATGTCTTTGGACAAGGCTCCGCTCAGGCAGCTGTTGGACGCCACCATCGGGGCCTACATCAACACAACGCACTCTCGGCTGACGCACATCAGCCCGCGCCACTACAGCGAATTCATCGAGTTCCTCAGCAAGGCCAGGGAGACGTTTCTGATGGCACATGACGGACACATCCAGTTCACGCAGTTCATAGACAACCTGAAACAGATCTACAAGGGCAAGAAGAAGCTGATGATGCTCGTACGAGAGAGGTTCGGTTGAATGACCGAATTTCGTCCTGGGAAAATTTGTATGGGAATCTTACAGCTGTGATTCAGGACTGACGGCTCTCGTATAAGGAACAAGGTGTTGAGGCCTAAAAGAAATTGAGATGTTGAAATGTGCCGAGCACAAGATGAGAGATTTTGGCATCGAAACGACCGAAAGTAATGAAGATAAAACAGGAATTTTCAATCAATAACAACCTTAAAGCAACACCAAGGGGCAGATGTATGAAACTGTGCGTAATGGGTAGTAAAAATATTACCTTCCTCCTCCCAGGGTAGTTACTAAATAATAAAAGTATGGCTACTTTGTAGCAACTTTCAGAAGTGTTAAACTCAGTAAAGGCAAAGTTTACCTGGCTAAGTCTTAGATTATGAGTTTTCCTGTAGGGATGCATGATTTATTGGCAATAACATCGGTATTGGCCCACGTTGGTAATTTTTTTAACATATTGGTATTGGTCCAAAAGTGGACCGACATTAACAACTGATGATTATTTCCGTCCTGTTTGTGTTTCTGGGAGGAGAAGAGAGGAGGTTCGTCGTGTGTTATTTGCTTGGTCATATGACGGTGATAAGGATACAGCAGGATTATGGGTATTAATTGAAGCAGAAAAACAATGAAAGCGACGTGGCAACTTTAACACGGTGTTGAAAGTGGAGGAAAATATTTGTATTATATATAATTATAGTGTATCGCCCATGATGGCAGTATTAATATCAGATTATTTTTCAACCAGTGCATCCCTGTGATTCCCATTACTGTTGGTCAAAACATTGATGTCACTGGGATGAGCTAGCATGGTAGCGTGAATGAAAATATTTAAACACCTTGCCAATACTGAACACATCTAACTTTTTGCTGAGCTTCGCTCACTGAGGACGGTGTGGTTTAAGAGACATGCAAGGAATGAACATTTTTGTCAGAACGAATGTTATCTAGTTTGGTTTTGAGTGCATCCACTCAACACAAGAACATCACAATCCCAGTTTATAAACTGAGAATAATTTGTTCCAGTCTTGACTGGAGCTTCATAGGAATAAATTGTCTCAGGTCAGTTTTCTCAATAGGTAATTGGAAAAAAAATATGCAAATATAAGTTTGTATATTCCGGATTTGTCAACAACTGACAGATACCAGTTTGCTAACATGCTAATTGTGGAGCTTAATTGTTTTTGGTTTCGTCCTTTAGCATTTTTGTTAACTTTAAAAAAGTTTAGCGCACTTAACCTCTCCTTTAATACATTTTCCGGTTCAGGTCGAAAGCGCTAATTTAATTGGCTGCCGTGTAAACCTTAAAGTTTTAAGTAAAGTTTAACATCTATGTTTATGTTTTGGTTATTATGATGCTCTTATTTTGAGCATCAACAAGTGAAACAAGTGAAGACTGTTTATACAGCAGGTCTGTTTCCTCTCCTGACAAGTGTTAGTGACACCTGGTGTGTATCAACATGGCTGAATTTATTGCTTCAGTGGATTAGCATTAGCTTCTGTTACATACCGTGTTGGTATGGTGGACTGGCATCAGTGGAAGCAATGTTTTAGGGTTAACGCAACTAACTTTTTCGCTAGTGGTGTCCACCTGAAAATGACCAACCAGCACCTCCAAGGTGTAAAAAGTGATGAGTACATTTAAATGTAAGTCAAAACTGTGTGGATTAATCAACTTCAAGATTTGACCTAAAACCGACCAATTTTGATTCGACGTTGGTGACACTTCAACCGTATAAGGAGCAGAGCTAGCTTTAGTGCACACAGCATTTCTGCATCTAATCCCTGGTGTGGATGTGTGAGAAGCTGGAGTTTCTGAAGAAGTGTCAGTCTACCTGGATGTTCCGTTCTTTCCCCCTATGTGAAAGTGACAGCTGCTGCTGAATCGTCTGCCTTTGCACTCCTCTGACTCCCCTCATCCACGGCCTCAAAGTGAAGACGAACGGCTTTAAACCAAATGGTGCGACTCCATGAAATGACAAGTACCTCTTGTTTTAAAAAAACAAACAAACAAAAAACTAAACAACATCCAGCTTTACTCCTTTACCCCATTCCTCCTCCTCTTTCTCCATGAGGAAATGCCGACTCGGGAGTTCATTTTCCCGCCTTTTTCCCCGGCTTCAGGGCGTGTCCTACGTTCTGACTGCTCTCGTGAACACATCGGTCGCCATGGTGTCGGCGCGCGCTCGCTCGTTCATGCGGAAGTTGTCAAACTGCATTCTCAGGGATTTCTCTCCAAAAGCAAACAGAAAAAGAGAACGTAAGCATTTAATGTGTCCTGTATATATGAAAGCTGATTATTGGAAGAAAAAACAAAACAAAAAAACCAACATGTACATTAACTAATTTATGACAAAATATTCTATGTAAGGCACAATACTTGAAGCTGCATTACTTTGGATTTATTATTTCTTTTGCGTTGTTTTGTTTTTTTCGTTTTCTTTAAATGACGACAACAAAAACATATCAGTGCGTCTTGACGTCGGGCTTGCGTCGCGTCAGGAATTGCGACGCGGCCGCCCGCTCCGCCACGCAGACACGGACTGAGCTGCGGGAACGCGGGGCGGGAACGGTTCCCCCGAACACAGAGTCACATTGAGGATCTCTGAGGTCGGACACAGAGCGGCCTCTGCTCGCCTCGGTCCGCGCCTCTTCTCTCCTCTCGACTTTGTGCTGGACGGAAAGTTGCTGTCTGCGGTGGTTCTGGAATGTTCCTCCGCCTCTCCTCGCTTTCCTCCTGTCTCTCTGGCATCCCCACAGGAACAGCCTTGTATCTCGCCTTGTCTTAATGCTTTAAACGAACCAAATGTGGAGCGGTCTGTTTCCCTCTTGTGTCACAGCCTGTTTGATCCGCAGCTGGACTGGCTCAGTGCTGCGTTGCTTTAAGAAGCTCATCTCATCTGTTACCGGTGTCGTCTGTTTTGTAGCGTCTTCGTTCAGAAACGAATATCGTTCCCTTTTCTGTTTTTTTATTTTATTCTTTTTATTTATTACGTCAGGTAAATGATTGTACGACCATGTCAACATGAAGATTTGATACACTGATCAATTTATTTATGTAACTAAATCACTGTTTTATAAACTTGTCAAAGAATCAACATTTTGTTCTGATTAAATTAGTTTTTTGAGAGGACTTTTGTATCGTGTCAAATGATTATGTCTACCAGTTTCAGGCATTGATCCGCAATCTGTGGTGCATTTTCCGCATTTTTTTAGCGTAGATGATCATTTTGTAGAACCATCTTTCACTGCGGTTGCAAATCTTCTGTGGTTTTCAACATGTCCTAATATAAGTTTGATGTATTATAATTATCTTATTATTATTATTTGTAGGGTGAATTCTGGCACCATATCTGCTTTGCAAAAAAAAGTCAGACTGGACATCAGTTTCAAAGTTTCACCAGATTTTCAACTAACAGATTTGAAAAAGGGATAAGGTTTTCTTTTTTTATCTGATTAATCGTCCAAATTATATAATAATCAATTTACTAAAAATAATTGCAAGTTGCAGACCCAATGACATACTCTTGATGTTTGCAGTTATAAAGGGACAACATGTAATAATAATATCTGCATGAAGTCAGGAAGCTTTATGAGTGGCTCTTTTTATGCTCTTCCAGCAACCTGGTTGCAGCTGCCTGTCAGCTGGCCTCAATCACACACACACACAAAAAAACACACTCACACACATAACCGCGGTGTTCCCCTGTGGACTTTTTTAGTCAGAAGACGTCGAAGAAATCTCATCGAACACATCCAGTGTCTGAATCTGGGAAGAAGAGAACAAAACATGGCTGAAACATGACAATGCAGGGCCGCCACGGCTACCAAAAACACAGTTTCCTTTTCACGTCTGAAACGTCTGCGTCTCCTCTAGCTGTAATTTTAAACACCTCGCTGATACGGCTCTCTTAATTCTCCTAACATTTAATTACCTGGTGAAACATCAACTCCCTCACATTGAGATAACAGACTGAGCCTTGTTAAAGCCCATTAATTATCCATCCCTTACCCTATAATGCAATTATAAAGGTAATAGATGCCCCAAAGTGAAATCCTACTGTTAACAAAGGCATATAAATGAACTTTAATATATTAATTCCCTTAATTATTTTTTTAATCATGAATCTGACAGGGGAATACATTACACCGCTACACGCTGTGGTATAAGAAAATATTCCAGGAAGGTTAGAATCAATCAAGTGAAGCAGTTTTTATAATACAAGTCTTTTGCTTCTTTGGGTTTGATTAGAATATATAAACATATATTTAAAGATATCAGTATTTGTTGGATATTTAAAAAGAGCAAAAAATATGGGAGTTATTAATCCAGAGACAGGGAGGATGTAGGAGACGTAACTACTGTGCTTAAGCTGTGCAGGTATTAATTAGTGTTTTAATTAACAACCTGGTCATAAACGTCTCAGTTAGCTACTGCATGTGAGAGAGAGAGGATAAGAGGCTGACAGGAAAACTCGCACTGGGTCAGAGTTTTCCTTTCTGGTTTTGAAAATGAAAACATCTGATGAAAAATAATGTTAGCAGCTGCAAAGAAAAAAAAAAGTAAACTAATAAATAGGAATCCTCCAACAAAAGAGGAAATAAGTGCATCACAAAGAAATGGAGAAAATGACACTTTGACAAGTCATTTTCTCATTGAATTCTAATTATTATTGTATTCTCTTGTTATTTTGATTTCTCTTATGGTTATCCTTTTAACATCCTTCCCCATCACATCCCCTAAATAGTCTTCAATTTGGTAGCATAACTTATTTTAGCACACTGACAATAACATGCCAGCTAATGCTGGAGCAGCAAGATAAATGTGGGGAACTACCCGAACGTTACCCTTTCTCACCACTTAGTGAACAAGAATCTGTAAAGATTCTGCATCTGCAGGCATCCAGCAGATTACTGTAAGCTAGTTGGCTACAGATTTACGGAGATTTCCTTCTCAAGCTTTTCCTTCTTTAGAAGGAAAGGCTTGTTTCTTGCACACAGGTTGAATCAGAGGCTGGAAATGCCTCTTCCATTGCATGACCACGTGAGGCGCATTTTCAGAAGTTTGCACGCAGCCAACAGGCAGCCTGATGCAGCACATTTGATCCCAGCTGACCCTTCAGTCCAGCCTGGAGCTGCGCTAGCTAGCCTAGCATCTCATCTTGTTAAGATTCAATGTTGTTTGTTTTTCATCTTCTCTTTCTAACCTGAGCAGGACTGTTGTCAGGTATTTGTCTAGATTGATGACTACATAAAAAAAATGAAAGCAAATCCATTCAGCTGTGTAGAAAAATATCTGCGAGAGCTAAACTGTGTTTAAACTGTGTTTAATTATTTTTAGTAAATTGATTATTATATAAACGCTAAACACAGTTTAGTGAGAACAGTAAAGACTGTTCTTGAATCTGTCTTTACTCTTAAGGGCTCGGCTGGTCTTGGATGCACCTTGGTATCCATTTGGCCAATGACACTGGGTTACAAAAAACTATTTTTTAGGAAGTTGTCTATTCTTTTTCAACTGAATCAGGACTATTTTGCACCACTTAATCTAAACATGACATCCATGTTTCTCAATCAGATCAGATTTTTATTCTAATTTAATTTGGAGAAATACAATCTTCGGACTAAATTGATAACATTTTTGCGACTATAAGTTCATGTCCTTTGATATTTCTCATCCACACAAGGTTATAGGAGAAAAAGAATGTTTTCTAACAGAGTGTATAAATTAAATGATACAAACTTGGATTTCTGTAAATTGAATTTACACTGATAAGGGTAAGTGCATGTGAAGTGAACGTTGCGTCTTCATTGTGCTGAATTCTCCGTCTCTTTTCCGTCCTGATGGCGTCTCTCCTCCTGCTCATCACTCACTGATCCCAGATTATCCACATGTGAGAATAAGTCCTGCATTTTGATGCTCATGATGCATCCATAGTTCAGAAAGTTGACCTGCTGGAGCAAAACCAAAGGGATTTTTTTTCATTCAGCTCATCAAAAGTACCGTAAAACAGTTGAAAAAACCCCAGACAGTTTTTTGGCTGTTATCAGTCAATAATCAATTAAGCTGCATTTTTGGAAAATTTACCCACACTAAGATTTCTTTTTAGTATGGGACAACTCTTAGTCTTGTTGGAAAGAAAGCAAATTAGAATTAGGACCCTTCAAATCCAACTCTTGAAGATCGGGGTCCTGCACCTTTAGATGTGTCTCTGTACCAGAGTCAAACAATCAGGTCATTAGCAGGACTGTGGAGAATGTCACCGCATACTGATGAAGTGATTAGGTTATTGAATTCAGGTGTTTTGAACCAGGAGTATATCTAAACCTTGCAGGACTTGAAGAACCCGGCCTAGATTCAGAGTATTCATTTTCCATTCCATCAAAATGACAATCCATGTCTTCATTCTCTACAAAACTTTCACTTCATAAATCAGTAAATGCTAATCAGGAGAGTGTATTACATTTATTTACTTTTTCTTAAGAAGGGAAGAATAGAAAATGTCCTAAGACAGCGACAGGAAGTTGATCAAATGTTAGATCAGACAGCCCTGGCACAGAGATCAGCTCAACAGTTTCTTTTCCGCCGTGCGTTATTAACCAGGATCTCTGTTGTGAAGAATTGGCCTTTTCCAGAAACACCTAATTGCTAGTGGCTGCTTCGCTTGCTGTGACATTTATGAAAGCTTTATGGACAGCAATCCCTCCAGCTTGTGACATTTTGGATTCCCTTCAAAGCGAAGAATACGACTGCTTTCTGACTCAAAGCGCAAACGCCAGCTTCTTGTCTCTTCGGACCACATGAAAGAGAGTTGGTGGGAAAGCGGCTTGATGGTTCCTCCTGAAGGAAAAGGTCATTAATGTGATGGATCCTGATTGAGGCAGAAGGTCTTGTCCGGTTTAAAAAGGGGTTGCATTAGGGGTGGTAGAAGACTTGGGGTAATTAAAAGGATGAAACAGATGGACCAGGTCTAATGATCATTATTGGCAAAGGTTTGAAGGGTGGGCAGACTTGAAAGCAAGAGCAACAGCTGGTTACAGAGAGCAGCAGGAGACGGTAACCAGTAGGAAGTAGGCATGGGTCGGTTTCCAGTAGCATGTTATGCTGCTGTTTTATAAAGATAGTTTTAAAAACATTCCATCGGCATCTTCCTGCAGTTCCCAGTCCTTTCAATAACCCTGAAAGAAAACATTTTATTACCCTGAAAAACTTAATTGCTGTATTGTTTGATAGTTTTTGGGAAATGCTCATTTAATGTATAATGCTTTATTTTCATACTCAGCGGCATAACTTAAAACACAAACCTGACCATGTACACACACACAAATTAGTTTTCATTACATTCTAGGTACCTGTAGCACAGTTTCAGGTTCAAAATGCTTAGCCACAACGAAATGTACAACAAAATCTACACTCTGGAATAAGGAAAACAATTAGTGCCCACTAAAGGTAGTTAAATTCTAGTATTGAGCAACTTATTGGAACCGCTTTGTTACATTTAATTTATTCTTTTAAAGCGATTACATAAAGGGATTAAAATGATCCATACATTTCTGCAGAAAAACCTTGTCCTTGCAAATTAGATCACAATTTTCTGTTCTTCTGATTGACTGTAAGTCTCTCATTCAGGAACAACCTGTAATAATGAGAACTGTGAGAAGATGGGTCACAAGCAGCTGAAGACGCCCTGTGTCACTGTTTTCAGGGCATCATCAGGAATGCACTTTGAGAATATCAATGTCACCACGTTCTCAGAGTGCACAAGTTCATAAGACTAAAGAATCATACATTAAACAAGTGTCAGCAACACAGGGAAACCTCAAGGGACTGTACTCTTTCCATTGTTTTCCTCTGTGCAACTTCAGACTTTCAGTTCAAGTCAGACTGCCGTCATCTGCAGAATCCTGAGATGTTAGGCAGTTGTTGGTATATTGGAGATGGACAAGATACTGATTACAGAGAGCTTGTGGGCCGCTGTGTGTCATAGAACAAAAAATGTGTTTGTTTTTGATTTCAGGAGACACAGTGTCAAATGTCAACCATATTTCCATCACGAGAGAAGTGGAGGAGTAAAAGAAAAAAAATTGTGTTCACCAGAACAACTGACTGGACTAGAGATGCAATAGTGAAGCTGTTTACCAGAAAGGACAGAGCAGACTGACTTCTTGAGAAAGACAATAACTTTCCATGTTTATAGCAAGATACTGCAGATCTTCTTGAGTTGCAGTTGAACCATAATAAACGAAACATTGGCCAACATTTTGACATGACAGCACTTGATAAAATGCAAAATATTTACTGGTTTTTGTTGACTGACTCATGACTATATTTTTTTGTTCTTGTGATGTGAAGCATTTTGAACTGCTTTGTTGCTGAAAGGTGGTATACAAATAAACCCGACTGATTAATTTACTCTAAAAATCTGTTGTTGAGAGTGTCAACTCTTCTGCTATCATCTGTTGTCGAAGCAACATCAGAGCCAACAGCCTGATAACGAAGGCTGGTTGTGTTCTGGGGATGATTGTTCAAAGAAGGATTCTTTGAAGGTTTTTTGTTCTTTCTGCGCCCTTTCACTCAAGTAGATGAATTATTACAAGACAATGTTTTTCTACATTGGTGATGTAATGAGTTTTGTTGAGTGAATAAACACCCACAGCCATAAGCACCTACAACAAATCAGATATTATATACTTTTTATGCATGTGAAAATGCATGATGGGTATTTTTTATTTTGCTTCCATGTATTAAATGATTGACAAAGGCATAAAAAGTATGCTGAAGAATGAACATTTATTGCTTAACCAAGCTCTTGACAGAATGCTTTGTTTTCCTGTAAATGTTTGACAAACCATCAATTGAACTTAAAAAGTACAGATTGAAATTACAGTCAAAAAAGGTATTGCAACAAAGCCAAAACTAAAAGATACACTAACCTTGTCAGGAACAATGGACTGGAATAGTAGAAGAAATCTACATCATGGAAGAACTGACACACCGATTGAGACTTCAGCAATCACAAATGGAAGAAAAATGGACTAAATAGACTACATTCATGACAAAAGAGAGCGACAAAAATAGTGAAAGAACTATGCAAACCAGAGGAAACAAAGGTCTTATAGAGGATTAGCTCCCGAGCGACAGTTTTAGTTTCATTTTTGGTTGTTGGATGTGATGTGTTCATGTTCACTGTATATGTAAACAAATGTGAAAAATACCAATAAACAGTTAAATGAAAAAAAAGAAAAGAAAAAAAAAAGATACACTATCGTTTCTATTTAAAAAAAAAGAAAGGAAAAAAGACAACAGTAAACTGAAATGTCAATGACATTATAGAGTAACTAAAAGAACTGAAAAGCAGCATGAAGTTAAATGTTTTTAACCTTTGTTTTTAAGAGCTGCTATACGATTCTTAACGTAAAACTTAACCGCCAGCCAATTTCTGTGTTTGAGAGCAACAGGTTCCTGTTTTAAACACTTGTCACAGTCTGCTTTCCCTGGAATTCGACTGTTGTTGATGAACACCATCAGGTGCTTTTCGACTGCATGGATCTCCTCTTCATTCCAAGCCCTCCTCTTGCGTGGTTGGCGACCTTTAAAACCAAAATTAATAACACGTGTTAAACAAATGCAGCCCTGAAATACCGCAAGCACTTAAAGATGATGAAATGAAATTACCACAGCAATATATTTAAAGGGTTTTTTACACTCGTGCCTGATTAGACATACATATAGAATAATCTTCATGAAAAAAACATTTTGAGACGCACAACAACCCTCTTGCAGTTTACCTATTAAATTATACTGCAATATTGCATAAACTACACATTTGCTACCATAATATCTTCTTCGGCCTACAGTAAGATTTACATCTAGATAAACTAAATGCATGATAAACAATTATTTGCACAAAACAGAAAACAATCTCTAAAAAAAATAGTATGTTGAAATCAAAGATCTACAGATGATTCATTGTCGTCTGTTCTTCAAACACGTTTGTTTAAATCAATGTTCGTTTAAAAAAAAGAGAACAATGTGAGAAAATAGGTGTTTGTGATCTTGATGTGGATAAGAAAAAAAATTTATCACAACAAAGAATGAACTACAATGTGATAAAATAATTTAAGGAAACAATGCCTTTTGTATTGCACTCTACTGGGAAGGGAGATCCAGATGGATGGGATACTGACCTTTAGCCTTCTTGGGCGACTTGCTTATAAAAGCTTGTGAAGGTGTTTGAGCATTTTTGTTGTCCACATCTGGCATCTGTCCCTCAGTGGATGCAACTTGATCCTCTGAAATGGAAATAAAAAAGAAAAGATTGATGTATTCATTTATTTACTTAAACTTATTTGACATGGCATAAAATTTATATCCCAATAGACATTTTGATGAGTGGTGGTAATGATATATCAGGATATGCTGATGCAGAAGACTTAAAATAGAAATGGAAAAAAAAATCCCAGTAATTGAATGGAATATATAAATTTAACACTTGTTTTTGTGGATGCTATTTGTAAGCAATGTTTGTAACTGTTTGGTTTTAAGTCGCTGTCTGTCATGACCTTAAAAAAAAAAAAAACTAATTTCAATGGAGACCCAGAAATGATAAGCAGCAGCATAATCTCAATGTTGACTACCTGGTTAAATCAATGCAAAATAAATAAATGAAAAATGTATCTGTAGAGAAACAATAACTTTAATGTAATGGATGTCTGCATCAAATCCTGCTTTTTCTTCCCAGTGTTGTGACTGGAACTTGGAAATAGTGACGAAGCTGGTATTCAAGCACGTGTTTCATTTTAAGGTGGTAAAACAAATCACTTGCATTTCCTCTCACACACTTTTAATCCTCCCACTGTCTTAAGAGATGGGGTCATTTGAATCCAACAAGATTTTTACTCTGTGCACAGTCCTGTGCTAAGACTTAAGAAACGGAGTAGATTTGCCCTGATCCCCTGTGCAATGTACCCGTTTTTCTGCTGTCTAAACGTAACATCTGCGCACTCCTCCTGAGCACTGCCAGTGGCTGAATCCGAAACAGGTCCAGATAATCAACTTTTTTTGCACCTGTTTTAACAAACTCTTGTTTTTTGTGCTCTCAGCCACGCTGCTTCCCACTTGCTCTGTTTTCATGCCGGACATTTACGTCATCAACAAGCCTTACTGCGGTTAGCTGGTAGAGTGCAGATCTCTATCGTAGGGAAAATTTCTATCGTTTCTATGATATACTGTATATATTGTGCATTCCTAATTAGGATCCAACACTTACCCTCGGCATCAGCCTCAAACTCTGCCTCTTCCTCACTGTCCAACTTCACAGTTTCTGCAATGGGTAAAACGGGGTGAATAAAGTAATTATTTTAAAAAGAAAAAAAAAGAACCACAACTGGATCTGCAGTTTGTCACATGTGGCAATACCAAAAGTAAAAACAATATATAGAAATAATTTACATAGATATAAAACAATCAGTACCTTCAGGGTCAATGGCGATGTCATCAAGGTTCTTGCCTTCAAACTCTGCAAGATGCCCTTTCTCTAGGGCCATGAGGACTTTACTGAGTTTAGCTAGCTGAAGAGTGCCTTCCGGGAGCCGATAGAACTGGCGATGAACGTTGATATTGTGACCAAGGAAATTAGCTAGCTGCTCCAACTCCATATTGCTGAGGTTTAAGATCTGAGAAAGAGTTGTAATTTGCTTCCTCAGTTTTGTTGACGTGAGACTATCTGGTCTTTTGGCGCCACAGTCGTTTGCAAAGTAGCGAAGGCAGTCAGAACCACGATAAGAGCTCATGGCTGATGGTCTTGCAAATAAGTGTATGTTTTCTTTAGGGACCCCACATTTTTGCCGTTTGCTAATGAGCATATCCAATGACTGCTGCATTTCTGGAGTCAATAGGACTGGTACCTTTCTGCCTCTTTTTCCTTTGATTTCAAGTCTTCTGAAATGTTCAAACAGTCTTTTTTCAAGGTCAGATGAAGCCTCTTTTAGATCATCCTGATCACTACTGGGATTTGAGGACTGATACGCAGAAAGGGGCATTTTTGATATTTCTCTGGCATGCCGCCTGTTGAACAGAATCACCTGAGTAAGGGTGACTTTACACAGATTTCTCCAGGTCTTTGGAGATGCTTCTGCTGACAGTTCATTGTATAAACGTTGTTGTTGTTCACTGAGATACAAATGAAGAGTCTGCACATCTTTAGTGAAGGGAAGCAGCTGTGGAGCATTCCATTCTGATCCCTGCAGTGTCCTTAGCGATGCAGGTGAGACAAACTTATTCCAACTGGAATCATAGAGAATTCGGAACGCATGAGCATCTCTGGCTGCTCTGGAATTCCCCTGTACATTTTCACGACTTTCAACAAGCTCTGATATTGTTTTCAAGCTATGTCCAATCTTCAAAGCAAGACTTGGGCTTTTGTAGGTGCTTGTTTCAGCAACAAAACCAGCTAGGTTTTTAACAGATTCTACAACCAGCATGAACTTTCCAGGCTTTATATGATCTTCAATTGTCTTCATGGGGGTTGTTTTCCTTGAATTAATCAACAATCTTCCCAGTTCTCTCAGTTTTTGGCGAATATACTCGTGTCTTGAAGCATCATCTCCAAGTCTGCTGTAAAGATGCTGCCCATATTCTATGATGAGTTCGTCAGACTTTACAGCATTGTAAACTTCATCTCCATGCATGTTGTGTAACATGTTCCAGAACTCTCTCTTTACGCCTGGGGGAGGGGGTACAGCGAAGCCACAAAGAGACTGGATACGTGTTCTGCCTGGTGTCTTGATAGTCCTTGGTTTAAACTTGCAGGTTGTCAAGTGCCTAGAGAGAATTTTTTTCATGAACAATCCTTGACAATAGATACAGTGGAGATATTTTTGTGATTCAGTTGTTGTGCTTGGTTGCTTACGTGGGACGAGTGTTCCAGTACCACTATTTAGTACCTCAACATTGTGGGCAAAGTTCCCCCTATTTCTCAAATGTTCCAAATGTAACTTTCTCTGCTTGGAGCCTATAGGAAAAACTATGGCTTCTGCAACCTCGGGTTTGTCATAATGAACATGCTCCAAATGTCTTGCAATTTTTGCGAATCCCTTTTTACAGTACAAACAGTAGTGTCTTTTGTTGTAAATGCGTGACCCACTCTCAGTTTTCTCAATGGCAGATACGAGAGGAGGAACATTAGGGAATCCATCCTGTACAACTGAAGAGGAAGGACTTGATTGGTCATTGTCTTCTGCAACAGATGCCGATGTAGCAGAAGTACCTTCTTCACTTGAACTTTCACTATGATCAATTGATCGAGCCTTAGCTATGGATTTAGTGTGATAGCTTGAAGGACTGAAATGTCGCCTTTTGTATTTTGTTTGAGATTCTTTACACTTTTTTGTAGGTGAACGTCCTCTCTGAAATCCTTGGTTGGTAGAATTGTTTTTGTTTTGCTCCATTACAGCTGCGAAATCTTCAATGTTCCTAAAAACTCTGAGACAAAGACTTTTCTGATCATCAATCTCCATAATCTCACTTGTGTCTGTATCTTCAGAGTATTCCTCACAACTTTTAGGGACATATTCATCTCTACTCTCATTTGATGAAGAGTCAGACAGGTCATCGGACTCAAAATAATCAGGTTTGTTCATCTAAAATAAAGATATGTGGAAAGAAATTATAAAAATCACATGATCACTATGTGAACTTAAAAAAAGACAATTACTAGAAATTAGAGGAACTTACCTGAATACGTTTGGTCCTTCTTAACTTAGGGGTGAGCAAGTGATCCTCATCCGAAGAGCTGGAATCAGGTGAAGACCTTGAAAGTAGTTGCTAAAAGAGAAATAAAATATACAGTTATTTGTTTTTAAAACAAAAACAGTTAATTTTGCATATCATACCAGACAGATTAACAAAATCTGAAAATCCAGTTGCTCAGAAAATCTGAATGTTGTGGAAAGTTAAATATGGAAAAACCATAATGTTACTCTGAATCACTACATTAATTCCAAACACCGGCAAAGGTTTCATGATGTTCAGAATGATCTCACACTCTGGGTAGGTAGGGGCAATAATACTGACTGGACAGATATCCAGAAGATGGTAATTGAAACTCTTTGTAGTTTCCACAGGGAAAGTAAACCACAAAAGGCCAATGTTAAAAAAGCTGGTTTTTTACAAAAAATTACAAAGAACTTTTAATGGAAGGAAAAAGTGAGGTAGGTGAAAGTAGATCAAAAACACAGAAGTTAATGTCAACTAGAATCCATCCAAGAACATTGACAAACTTCACAAGAAGTGCAAGTCCTGATGTTATTATAAATTGAAGTTGACTTTCATGTCTGACACAAAAAGCTAGACAAAATTAGGACAAATAGATGACCACCAAAATAACATTGTCTAGATAAAAGGAATGTTGAATCAGAGCTGTAAGGATCTACTTCAAAGCTGGTTCTACTTCAGTTAGGCAGTGATCCGTAATCAAGAAAACATGTAAAGTTCACAGTTTATTGAACATTTGAAGGAAATATTACATTTCTTCCAATGTAACCGTACTGACAAATCTCTGAGACATCTCAAGTAGGACTAGATTCCCAATGAAAAGAAGTTCAGAAATAAATACCTTTTTCTTGGAGGACTTGAACATGTGTGGAGCTTCATCTGATGAGCCAGCATTCTCAACCTCGACACCCTCAGTCACATTTGGTTCTTTGTCAACCTTAGGGACACAAAAAAATGACTGTTAATACTGTAAGAAGACTGGCCAACATTTGGGCAAATCCACTGACCACCTAAACAACAACATAACACAAACCATTGACTAATCAAAAGAAATGCAGCTGAAAATTAGCATGGCACACTGTCAATGAATCACAGATGTAATGCTTGACTAAGTAGCTATTTCTAGCTTGGTTTGGGAGAGATCCTTCATAAATTTCTGTATCACTTTGACCAGTTCAAATGTTTTTATTAAGCCGACGTCACAGGATTGACCTGTAAACATGGTTTCATCATATTCTCTTGATTTGAAACATACATGGTGTCTTAAGGCAGATGTGAGCAATGCTACTGAGGCCAGACAAGATCTACAGAAAGAGATAAAACTTTGAGCAAAAGAAACCTCAAACGGGGTCCTGACTTGTACTGTATACCAGAAATATGTGTAAGGCCCCAAACAGCCATTAAATGGGATCAAACACTTCAGTTGCTATAGATCCCACAATGACATCAGACCAGACTACTGTGTGTTAATAGGACTCCTTAATAAAGCCTGTTAAGTTCACAATTTATAGAGCATTTGAAGGAAATATTACATTTCCTCCAATGTCACCATACTGACAAATCTCTGCAACATCTCAAGAAGGACTAGATGCACAATGAAAAGAAGTTCAGAAATAAATACCTTTTTCTTGGAGGACTTGGACATGGGTGGAGCTTCATCTGATGAGCCAGCATGCTCAACCTCGACACCCTCAGTCACATTTGGTTCTTTGTCAACCTTAGGAACAGAAAAAAACTACTTTGTTAATACTGTAAGAAGACTGGCCAACATTTGGGCAAATCCACTGACCACCTAAACAACAACATAACACAAACCATTGACTAATCAAAAGAAATGCAGCTAAAAAGTAGCATGGCACATTGTCAATGAATCACAGATGTAATGTTCCACTAAGAAGCTATTTCTGGTTCCGTTTGCCGGTGATCCTTCATCAAGAAAGTCTTCAGTTTCTGTATCACTTTGATTGGTTCAAATGTTTACATAAGAAGACGTGACAGGAGCATCGCGTTTTCTTTTCATATTTTTAATAAAATTTAACTATTTGTAGAAACAAAATTTAATTTGAAACATATACATATGCTTAACATATTTTCCTCAAACATTCCCGAGGTACATACACTGAAAATGTATTGATCAACTTCTATCAAAACTATAAAATTGTACTCGCTCCCAAATCAATTCCACAAAACGTAATATTCCACTCTTCAGTATTTTAACTTCATCAATTGAAACACAGACAAAACTTAGGTTTAACATTGACAAGCCATTTATATAGGGATCTGAACATGACAAACCTTCTCCCTCCATGGCCAGTCATTTCCTCCATAGTTGTAAGTTATTTCCTCTCCAGGGTTTATATCCTTGTTGGCAAATAAGCACAGGTGTGGCTTTCCATCTACCAATATCTTCTTCATTGTACAATTTGGATTTATGTGGTCATCATTGACTAATCTTCCAAGACTGTTCTTCTCTTGGGATGCATCAATACTTTACAAATAAGGTGGGGGAAAAGAAGCAGGCAAATGTTAGTCTGTTTAATATCTTTCATTTATCTTGGCAAAAATATAATGTTGAAAAAACTGCACTTCTTAAACCAGTGCCATTGGCTTTGAAGAGATCTAAACGTTTTGCCAACTTACATTGATTTATTATAAATTCTGGACTTACCACCACCATCTTCCATGCCACAAGAAATCAAACATGTAGACAGCACATGCACTATGATACAGTGCCCTCCTCCTTTTTGATTCTTCAGAGTTTATCAAAACCCCTCTGTACTCCACCACAAAATCTCCTTTTTTAAAAGGAGTCGTGGTGAACACACCTCGTCCTAAACACAAGAAACCATAAATGGCAGATCAGAAATCTATATACATGACAAAATTACTTTGTCAAGAATACTTTCAAATGTTATTTGTGGAAATATCTGAACTGTAAAGCTCACATGCACACAGACCCACCTTTATAGGCATTGATGAACTTCATTTCCAATCTGCCTGTTTTGTCATCGGCCCTTCTTGCATGTTCAGCTGCATCTCGTACAGGTGATATTGATGTCATTATTCTGTTAAACAGACAGGGAATCATTTTTAAAACCATCTTGTTCAAATAAAGTTTTTAAACTTGCATTTCAAAGTCAAAATAGCATTAGTAGTTCAATCAGAAACTTTCCACCATATTTGGAAGACACAGGTTTTCAGGATATTGTTTTCTCATGAAATGTTTTAGCTTACATATGTTTTGGAATATAATACAGTAATTATTTGACACATTTAAACGTAAAACAGTAGATCGGGACACAAAGAAAACAGCTTGGATGACGGGAAGCTAATGCTAACACGATCTTATTAATATAAACTGAAGTAAATTCTCAATTTACGCCTGTGCTATGCCTTTATGTGGCTTTATAGAGTTTTAAAGAGAAGTTCGGCTAGTATCACCGTTCATTCAATCTTTTAATTAAACCGGTACATTAAAATACGTGCACAATAAGATAAATCACGGTACTTACGCTTCCACGTGCTGAGCTGCTTTTCCCAAGATGCTTTGCGAGTTTCTTTAAAGGTGCGCTTCTTATGTCAGTCAGCGCGGCCCCGGGCGGCGACAAGTAAAACACAAACTGCGAGCTTCCATCCTTCCGGTATGTCAGTAATTATTCGAAACATTTAAACGTAAAACAGTAGATCGGGACACAAGAAAAACAGCTTGGATGACGGGAAGCTAATGCTAACACGATCTTATTTATATAAACTGAAGTAAATTCTCAATTTACGCCTGTGGTATGCCTTTATGCGGCTTTATAGAGTTTTAAAAAGAAGTTCGGCTAGTATCACCGTTCATTCAATCTTTTAATTAAACCGGTACATTTAAAATACATGCACAATAAGATAAATTACGGTACTTACACTTCCACGTGCTGAGCTGCTTTTCCCAGGGTGCTTTGCGAGTTTCTTTAAAGGTGCGCTTCTCATGTCAGTCAGCGCGGCCCCGGGCGGAGACAAGTAAAACACAAACTGCGAGCTTCCACCCGTTTCTATTACATGTTTACATTTAATCCCTGCAAGTAATTTCCCAGTTGTTTTTTTACGTAGTTTTCCACATAGCACGTATTTTTTCGAGATTTTTTGTTTGATGTTAAAATGAATTATATAAACTGGTACTTTGTTGCAAATGACCACATCTGAAGAAGTGTGGTGGATTATACTGATTACTGAAGCGCTTGTACTCCCTGTTCTCAACATTGACAAAGCATGTTGTACCACACATGTGCTATGCATAGCACACATTTACATGGGATATTAAATTACATTTTATTCAGTTCAAAATATCTTAATCCAATATACATGAATTCTGAAGCTACTACCCCACGACCCGACCCTGGATAAAGCGGAAGAAAATGGATGGATAGATGGATGCATGAATACATGAAACACTATTATAACATTTTAATGTTATAATAAAAAACATAATAATTATGTATTAATCGTTGAAACATTGTCTATTATTAACTTACTAACTACTTAATGACATCAAACAAGTAGGAATGATAGAGCCTGTTCATTCTGCCCCAAATTTCCTCATTGTTGGTTACTATCTTTGTTGCTAAATGACTTCATTTCTTTTCTTGCAAACCAACAGTCTCATTTCATGACGTGCAGATCGAGAGGAAGGGTTAATCTTTCCCAACTGACATTTTCTCCTTCTGTTTCAGCTTTCTCTAGAGTTGGCTTTGTGTCCACCTTTTGGTATTAATTCTGCCTTCGAGCAAATGGTTTTGATTGTAAATGTCTGGTTACCTGAAACTTTAGATGTTTTGTATGTCTTCACCTTTTTTGTCAGTCCATCAATAAAGTTTATTTGTGTAGCATATTTCAGCAACAAGGTAGTTCAAAGTGGTTTAAGTCAGTAAAACACAAAAATACAAAGATAATGACCAGTTTTGTTTCTGTTCAGCTGGATAAAATTTGGGCACATTCAGACATTTGTACTAAGCATCTTTTCAGTGCTTTGATGGGTTCTGAATCACATTTATAATTATTTCTTTATAATTTCTTCCAAGCTTTTGTATCTTAGTACTTGAAATTGAATAATTTTTCTGCATATGTTGTTTTCATTTTTGTAAAACATGGAGGGGCTTCTTTCAGAACTGGTACAGTGCTTTGTTCCAGTTCTGGAAAGCAGGTCTGTGTCACTGTACCATACTTTGCTACTTGTTTTTCAGTTGAAATAAATTAGACAACTCTGAGTCATTGGCATGTCTGTTTTAAGGTCAAAATATTAAAACAATAAGTAGGCAGTAAAATGCAATATTGTATGTATTGACCAGTAATATTTTCTGTAAATACACAGCTATTTAATATGGAAGTGCCTAAGAATAGTACAGAGTTGCTGTCTAGGCATTAAGAATATGAAAGAGAATCCTCAAACAGTTAACACCAAACTTCCGTCAATAGTGTTGTCTCTTTCTGATCTGGGTAAATAGCTAACTTTCAGTCATTTGTAGAAAATTATATTATTAGTGTATAATGATAATAATAATAGTATAACAATATTAGTATTTTGGGAAATGGGCTTTTCAGTTAACTACAAGTAAAACAGCAGTTTCACATTATGTGTTCTTACAGTTTTAACAAGTCTAAAGCCCTATCCACACAGAGATGATTTTAAACGTATAGACATTTTTGTCATTTAGGCTGTGCATCCACACAGATTCAGAGTCTTAGGAAACCAGAAACTATCATTTTTGAAACCGTGTTCCAGAGTGAATAAATTTCAGAATGCCAGTTTCATATTTCAGTGTGGTCACTACAGCTGTTTTTTTTTTAAATGATGAGGTTGTAGCTCCAACTCCCTCTCTATCCTGCATGTACCTTAGTCCCATAAATAAACATGCTGCCATTCTGCAGTCTTGTCAAATCTGAAATGTAACACCAAATTTTCTACCCCTGATAAAACTAATGTTAATAACATCCGTTAATTGCAGTCATTGTAAATACAAAGGAGTAGTTTGAATAATCCAGTGGAAAACACTTTCAATCTGAATGAAAACACATTTTTAGTGTTACACATATTAAAAGAAATCATATTAAAATCCTCAGTTTTCTTTCAGCTCTGTGTCTGAAACAAGTTGTTTTATTTCATTTCAAGATCTACGGTCCATAACAAATATGTTATTTTAAAGTTATCATCTTCCATTATACTGTTGATCGATGCTCTTAGTGATTTTTCTGAATAATTAGTAAAATTATTGTATTTGTAGTTAGGCAAACACAATAAATACATAGTTTGCATGAGGATGTACATTTTTGTAATTATTTGAGTTTTATTTCTTTTGACTTTGTTTTATTTCTTTTGACTTTGCAATCACGCCAATAATAGACACTACTACAAAGGAAAGTGTTGTGGCAATAAACTACTGACTTTATTTAAACAATATGGGCAGAAATATTCAACTAAAATTACACAAAACCACAAAAATAAATCATTTTAATAATGACATGAATGAAAAAAATGGGAGAGCTGTAAATTTGCCATTCCTTTTGAACTGAATGAGGTCCTGATGTTACCACACCTCTGAAGCAATTATTTAAATAATCATTTAAGATAATTTAAGACAAAGTTTTCAGATATCAATAATTGATGATTATTGATATCTGAAATAATCATTAATTATATTTTGACAAGACTTTATATATGTAAAGTCTTGTATACACACAGAACACTACAGGTTTTGCATGTATACACTCATAAGGAAAATTATGCTGATATATGAACATTATGACAGTTCCAGTCATAAGCTACCATGTCATGAAATACTTTTGTTACACATTTGCAATAACATTTGCATCATTAATGACATAAATGTTAATGCAGCACTAAACAAGTTAATAATCAATCTGCAATCACGCCAATGATTCCAAATGTGAAGGTTATAAATCAACAAAAAGGAAAAGATTATTTCAAGACATTTAAAACAATCCATAGAAGAAGATTTTTATTTGTCTCAACAATGCACTAAAGTAAGAATGGTGTGTATTGTGTAAGTGTGTGTTCCCTGCAGTACCACAACCCACCACTAGGGGTCGATACTGAGTGACTATCTTACACACACCTAAACACAATCTGTTGGTTTTTGTGAATTTTTTGACAGAGCATCCTTCTGATCTTCTTTTTATTGAATTCAATGCAAACTTCATGGGCACTATGATTTTGATTCCTACAAAAAATTTGGTTCCCATACCATGAGTGTGCTGTCTTGCTGTGGTCACCTCTACGCAGCAAAGACAAACGTGTGTGTGTGTGTGTGTGTGTGTGTGTGTGTGTGTGTGTGTGTGTGTACATGCACACACACATATAAACACACACACACACAAGACTTAGTTACCTTTCTGTCTCAAATGTCAGAGAGCTGTAGCCTAGAAAACTGAACCCAGCCACATTGGAGCATGGTTGCGCTGCTTACAGATGTACACTTTGACTGAGTGTGCTGCTGTGGCCTTTTGTTGGTGTCCTTTGAGACGTGACATTGACAAACCTACCAGGAGTAATTGGGCCATTATGACTCGCTGAGATGGTATTGATTCTACTGTTTTAGTAGCAGGTCGGTAATGGGCGTCTAGACACAACGGGCAGCAGTATTAGCTAGAGTAATTCCAGTTTTTCATCATCCCAGAGTTGATGAAAAACTCAACTCTGGTAGCAATCTAAGTTGTTGTCGGTAGGTTAGATTGCTGGAAATGGCTGACTAGAGTGGCCAAGGGTTGTGTTTTAATGCTGAGTGGTTTGTATCTAACCAAAGCAAGAGCTGTGCCATCATTCTTTGTATAAAGTTTTGGGTTGGTCTCCACCAGAGTTGCTTCTGGTCTCTTGTTGTGTTTGTGGTGTTCATGAACAGAATAATAAGGTATAGAGCCCAGAGGGGAGAGTGTCAGGTTTGGGAAGCGTAGAGTGATATCTTTGCCTTTTGCAGTCAACGTGGTTCTGTTGGCATCTTCAGTCTAATCGCAGCCAATTAGAGTGAGAGTCACCTTCTCTAATTCTGAAGCCATGATTCATGAAAAAAGGTGGATTACTTCTTCTGATTCAGGAGGATAGTCTTTGCCTCAAGCTGAGGCATTAAAATGTCTTGGTGTCTTGTTTATGAGTGCTGATAGACTGTCCTACTCTGTTATGTCTAATTTTCAACTTTACCTATGGTCATGAAATCTAGTTAATGACTTAAGAAACAAGATCCGGGACGTAGGAAGCTGAATCACTGTTCCTCTGCATCAGAAGGATGCAGTTCTCCACTTTATATTTAACATCATGCGCGATGCGGGAAACAAAGTGCATCTGAATGAAGACGAGGCAGTCCTCGAGGAGACGCCTTGCTTTGATTTCTGGTTAAAGTCTCCATTGCAGATTTCTCTTATGAATGTTTGCAGAACAGTCTCTATACTGCTACACCCCACAGTAGAAGATGCACTCCTTTTTCCTTTGTGGGAAAGAGGAAAACAGCATAAAGATGGAGTCCACAGTTTCCCAGTTCAATTATCACCTGAAGTCAAAAATAAACCTTTGCAGCTCCACGAGTCAATCGCAATCTGCTACTGGCGCTTTCCAACTCCAAGAAACCCGTCAAACGAAGAGGAGAAAGCCAGCAATCTGAAGAGCCTTTCTACTGATTAAAGATCAAATCAAATATAGCTGGAAGCAGG